GGGGGGGGGGGGATTACAAGTCAATAAACCACACCAATAGGTACAAATCAGCATTGCGTGTGCAGTGTACTAATCTGAAATACTCGCCGTGGTATGCTGGGCTGGGAACAGTGCGTGTGCGTTTAATCAAATCAAATCGAATCAAATCAAGCTAACAAGTGAATGGAGAAACAATTGGGTACCTAGTTATGATCAAATCCACAGTCAAGGCCTTTATATCTGCTATATTGCTTCAACACCACTCCAAAACCTTCACAGGCCCCACCTCTTATATATCCGTAGCCGCGACCGAAGTGTCCATGCCTCAGTAGCGGCATCCTGATTTTTTGTTGTTGTTTTTATCCCCTTCAGTTTTTGTGGCCCACTTCTCATTCTCTGCATAGCTGCTATCCCCAAGAAAAACATGACAACTATGGCGAAGTCGAGGGAAGCTCCAGTTGCTACATTGCGGGAACCCCTGGAGCATCTCACACAGATCAGTCTGTTCGCCTGTAAACCCTTCCTCCCAGTTGCCGGGCTATCCACATGCATACGAAGCCTTCATCCGCAGTCCAAGTCGACTCACTTGTCATCGCTCAACGCCACGCTGCATTTCATAGATACAAAGGAAATTCCAACTTGAAGATACCGGGCGAAACATGCACAACATCTTCGTGGACCATGTCTACCCAGTAGCTCATTTCATGTCATGTACCGAGCCTGTATGGGATTTCTTATTTCCCAATTGGCCGTGGTGTCGCTTCTTCATCATCACCGCCATCGCCATCTCCTTTGGCAACTGTCAAAGGCCGAGGTGTTGCGTCTATACTGTCTGTTCCATCTTTGTCCTTATTGGGCGTGACACCTTCAGCCTTCAGTCCTGCGTCAGGAGGAGTACGTGCAGTAGCTTCCGCAACCACTTCACCATCCAGAACTCCAGTCTCCATCTCCTTTGAAGGCGTGGTCACGACTTGCGTCACAGCTTCAGGTGTGCTTTCTGAGCCCACCGTCAAGCTATCGTGACTGTTGGCCCGCATCATTTCAATGCCGAGCTTCGAGCTGGGCAGGCCGGCTTTGCTCAATATCTGCTGGCTATTGCGGCCGTGGTGCTTTTCTCGACTACTTCCCAGTTCCTCGTCTTCGTCATCAGCTGACTCAGTGCCCTCCAAGGTTCTATGTTCAGGGCCTTCTCGTCGCCCTCTCAACTTATCGTTGCTTCGTGGGCGGTGTTCCATCTGAGCCGGCGCGGATTGCTGAGCAATGAGAGAAGGAACTCCCTTTCTTGGGGGTTCAGAGGCATCGTTGTTGTCTGTGATGTTCAAGCCACCTTCGTCCCACTCGTTTGTTGGCTTGCGACTAACAACAACCGGCAACTCATCAGTCGTCACAGATTCCGAATCACCAAATAGTGATGATGTAATCGAGTCCTCACGGCTTGACATCATTGCATTTCCCAGTCGACTCGCAAAGATGGACGAGCCTGATGTCGGACTGTCTTCAAGTCGTGAGTTGGCTTTGCGGATTCCTATTGGGATCGGGCGAGGCATGCTTGATGATTGACCTGGTGACTCGGGCCGCCACTGACACAATCCGCGCAGAACTTCAGTAAGTTTTGAAGAACTGATGGGCTTCTCGATTAATGAATCAAAGTAATGTGGTGCTTGAAGTTCCTTGAGGTAAGCTGTAATGGCCACAATCGGTGTGTGAGAATTAGCGTTCTTGGTCTCCCGAATCATTCGTGCCACATCAGCTCCATTGATTTGAGGAAGCTGATACTCGAGGAAAATGACGTCAAACTTGATATCACTCATCGAATATCGAACAGCTTCAGACCCATTTGGTACGGATATAGTACGACATCTCAGCTTTTCAAGCAATTTCTCCATAACCATGCGAGATACCGGGTGATCTTCGCAAATCAGCACATCAAGAGGACGGAAAGTAGGGCCTCCGTCAAAGGCAATCTGCGAGAGCCGCCTTGAGCTCTGTCTGCGCCTCTGTACTCGGAGAAGGGCGTTATGCTTCTCGCCTTCGTTATCTGATGAGGATGGTGACATGTCAAAGACCTGGCTTCTCCGATTTCGATGATGGTGCATTATGTCGGAA